ACACAAGATTAATGTAAAGTGGGTAAGACCGGAGTATGTGCCAGCTTACAAACCAGAAAAATCAGGAGACTTGGAGAGTTTGCCTCCTATTCCTGAGACCGCTATTGGCAGAGATTATGCTCTAACTGAGGAGATCAAAGAGTAAGCACATAATACAAGACTACATCAAAAAAACATCTGACTTGTTTACAATTTTCGTCTGTGGCAGTCTAACAACTCCTTTTAACTTAATGTAGTTAGAAGTATTTGATTTCTACCGTAACTCCTTATTACAACTAACCAACTCCTAGAACTATTGTTTTCCGGTCATCCGGCCATTAAACCACTTTAGTAATTGTATTCTTACTTTTTTCTATCATTAAATGTGTTAAGCCCATTTCGCTATGGCAATATTAGACTACGTAAAATATCATGTATATATCCGTTTTTTCCTGCCTCGTTGGCCGAGTGATCGCAAGTGCTACTGCTCGGCACGGGGTCTCGGCCAAAGTATTACTTGGGTTTTTTTTTAATATCACAGTAGTTAGTAGCATGGAGTCTGGAATCGTGTCCGGTATACGGCAATGGTCTCACCCCCTATTACATGGGACTCATAACATAAATAGTGAAAAGTGAGTGTTGCATTGTAGTATTAAGTGACACAATGTGCACCTCTGCCTACCCCTTTGGGGATAAGAGTGTGATGTAATGGTTTATCCATTTCCAGCGCACCAGAGTCAGTTAAGAAGATATTCTCAGTTGGTCACCTTGGTCGCAAGGAGTACAACATTCTGGTCAAGGAGGAACTCAAGAACAGAGTCCGGAGACATGAGTATGACTTCTCTACTGCTGAGACTAAGAGTAAGATAAAGTCAGATGTTTACTACGAACTTAACTATATAAATCATTTAAAAAAACCATACCACATACTTAATATTAATCATCTTCTTTTGCAGTTGCCAACATGACAGGACAGATTCGATATCTCCAAGACAATATGGATAAATTCCCTAGAAATTCCAAAATGAAGGTAAAATTACCAGTTCATGCAAATATATTGATTTTCCAAATAAATTTTCAGTCCCATGTAATAGGCTCACCCCCTATTACATGGGACTTATAACATAAATAGTGAAAAGTAGGTGTTAATAGTGGCATTAAACTGTCAAACACCAAGCGGTCACCGGGGACCGCAACCTATTGTTCTATAATTGTGTCTATCATGACGGTACTCGACGAGTTAAGTGCCGTAATGAGCACCTCTGCCTACTCCTTCTGGGATAAAAGGCGTGATGTGATGTTATTATTTTCATTTCTAAAACTTCTTGAGATTGTCGTACAATATCCAATTTATTGCTAGAATGTAATAATTTTGATTTTTTCAGCAATTAGTGCAGGAGCGCATAGACAAGAGGAAAAAGTTGTTGAAGTTTTTAAGACAATATGATTACAAGAAGTTTGAATGGCTTCTGGAAAAACTCAATATTGAGTACAAAGGTCATCCAGAGTGAGTATTACTTTGTTCTAGACATTGTACACACGGCGACACATTAATCTATACAAAACCAGTTTATCCTGGTGTCGCGTCGCATAATATTTCCGCACATTTAACATTCAGTTTATACTGGTTATGTAAAGCTCGATGTGTAGTTGTGTGTACCTTATTTATTTCAATCTAGTAATAGCTTAAAATTTTTTTTAAATACATTGCCCCACTCTAAGATTATCTCTTGTATCGTGGATGCCTTTTCGGCTTTCCAAACATACAATTACACATGCACCTGACAGCCAGACCCAAAACAACAATTTGTCGATCGCACAAAGAATTGCTCAGAGCGGTAATCGAACCCGGACACTGCGCGGCAGCCCAGCCACCGCACCAGCTAGATCAAAAGATCCCTTTTATAATGATTGCATTGAAAAAAAGGCTACTTATAATCTTCAGTGCTGTAATCAAAACGTTAAATATTCCACCAAAACAGACTTATGACCATTAAAAAACCTTTTTTTTTGAGGCGGAAAATCATCCTATGACTTCTCCCGCAAGGTGAGGCGGGAGGGAGTGTCAGACTCTTACTGACTAAAAACCACTCCGTTCCCACTCCTGCACTTCGAGCCTTAGCCCCGGCAACCCGTTAAGTCTTCCGTGGCTCCGGACCATTTAAAAACTTGCCCTCAATTTACTGACGCAAATTAAACTCTTCTTTCCAGATCATTCCACAAGCTATCCCGCAAGGAGTCACTTCGCAGACTTACTGAGATCCACTGCGAAGACATCCGCAACAATAAACTAGCGGACTACCGCAACTTACTAGAAAGTCAACAAGGTCCATTCTTAAAGGAAAAATTAGATAGTTTGAAGTTTATTCGAAGTGAACAGTTGGAACTGAAGCTACCGATCACAGTCACTGAACAGGATATTAAGAAGGTTGAACAGCAGTTAGAAGAATGGACGAAGAAGGATGAGATCAAACAACAAGCTAAGAAGAAGAAGAGGAGCAGTATTCTAGAAGTTGATTGATTTTATTTTGTAATGTAATTATGTAATTATATGTTGTAGAATTTATATTTGTCTTTTTTTACTCAGATACAAATAATCTTTTCTTACTACATCACGCCTTTTATCCCCGAAAGGGTAGACAGAGGTGCTCATTGCGCCACTTAATGCCACTGTACAATGTAACACCTACTTTTCACTATTTATGTTATGAGTCCCATGTAATAGGGGGCGAGCCGAGTGACTCCGTGTTACTACTGAGGTTTTTACAAACCCAGTATAATACTTTGCCCGAACCAGGAATCGAACCCGAGACCCCTTGCCCGGCAGTCGCACTTGCGACCACTCGGCCAACGAGGCAGTCTTACTAGTGTGCGTTGCGTTACCCAGGCCAGATGTTGTCGAAAATGGTCATTTGAATCTTATAGATAAATTAGTTGTGCGGCTTCTGTAATTGTTGCGCACATTTTTAAATTTGTTGCGCTTATAAGTTTTTAATTATTTCACAAAAACATTTCCTGCTGGGGTAACGTTATCCCAGCCAGACCTTTCTCTTTCTAATGGGAATATTTAAATAATAACTAGCTAAAAAATTAGGTAGATGAAGTAAATATTGTGCCTTGTTTTGTATTTGTTCTTTCATCTCGAATAACTTCGCAAGTTATTCGAGATCCTGCTGGGGTAACGTTTTTTGGTTTTGCTAGATCTTTAAAATGGTTAAGCGGATCCTTATAATATTTTGTACGTGGCTTCTTAGGAATTAGTTTAAATTATTTCTGCAATAAAACAACCAAAATAGTAAATAACTCAAAGGTTATTTCATTAAATAGAAAAACACTTCAATTGGTCCCAGCACTCACAATAAGAGCTTTAAAGACTTACTTCAGACGTTATTTTACAGCTTGTAACTGCCTTCAAATGCATGTGAAGTTACATTAGTATTCTGTAAGTATTTAACAAGTTATGATGATATTAAGTTCTTCACGAGCACGGTCTTGATGCGCGCGGTGTTATTTGGCCACTGGATTAGATATACGAACTGAATGTTATGTCAATAATAAGTTGTTTAGTTCAGTTGTATATCAGTAAAATTTCAGCTCAATTGGATAATTAATGAGATAATACGATTAAAAAGTCATTAGGAAGTGAATGACCTTGTTAACTCGACCAAGTTTAGGTGGTTGAACACGCATCAAGACCGTGCTCGTGAAGAACTGTGGGTAAAATGTGGGTGTTACTTTGTTCAGTGGATTTAAATAAACATTGTTAAATTGATATGTTAGATTCCTTTTTTTCGGACGCCACGTGAGCATCCAGCCCGCCTGCTTTAGGTGGGCTGGTAAACACTCCGCCCCCACCGGACCCGACTGCGCGCCGCTCGCCGGGCTAGCCCCGGCTTGAACGCGGCTCCGAAACAGGCATCGGCCTGGTTCACACGACCTTACGCCCCCAGTTGGGGACGGAGAGACCTCATAGCATCCTTTTTTTAACAGTCGTGGTGGCTCGGTAGTCTGAGACGCTCGCTTCTCATGCATGAGGGTGCTGCTTCGAAACCTACCCACAGCAAGTACCAATGTGAAATTTTCCGAGTTATATTTACTTTTTAAGATTATTTACACATCACTGACAAACGGTGAAGGAAAACATCGGGAGGACTGGACCTGGACTTTCTAATTATTATAAGTTTGAAATTGGCAACCCGAATTGAGCAGGCGAGGTGATTAGTGCTCAAACCTCCGCATGAGAAGAGGCCTTTGGTCAGCAGTGGCTACTTATAGGTTGTTAATGTGATCCATTTCCTAAAATATATTCTGCCCGCGACTTCGTACGCGCAATCCCATTTTCTCCTGTTCCCGTAGGACCTTCAGGATTTTTTCTGTCTTAAGAACCTTCTCCTAATAATAACAAATACAACAACAAAAACAAAATCAGCCAAATTGGTCAAGCCGTTTTCATGCTATGTCGTGACAACGGAAAATGGGTTTCATTTTTATATATATAGAATAGTGTTTTATATACAACTATAGAGTTGTGCAAATAAAACAAAGCAAAAATAGTTTAAAACCATTTTATTAATAAGTAATTAAGTACAAAATTACAATTAAAAATATTCATATAAAAATATAAAGCGTATTCTGAATATCAGTCGAATTTGGACGGAGTATATTTTACATAAACACATTGTTTTCGAGTATAAAAAGCGATTTCATATTAAAATTATTGGAATGTACTTTATGTACTTAACATTAAAGGAAGACTTATGTACTATAATTTACATAGAATATGGCGTTAGGCTAAGAAATATAAGAATATAATGCAGGCACAATCGAGGATAATATATCTCAATGTTTCAAGATAAACGATAATTTTTAACCAATAGCGTTACAATAGATTGGCAAGACAGGCGAAGTTCCCTCAGTCAAAAACAACTACTATTTATAATAACTATCGTGAGACTTACTAAATTACCTAAAAATGTACGCTGCGCGACTGCTCATGAGGAAGAACCCCTCTGTGGCTCGAAACTAGTAGAGCTTTACTCAGTATGTTCACGTGAGTAACCCGCGATTTTTAGTTAATTACTATTTACTTTTAAACACAAACTAATCACACTTTTTGATTTGATTGTCTTTCATACTTTTTTTGTCATATAAAAACGTATACACCAATATTACGCCTGCATTATAATCGTCGCATTGAAGAATTGGAAATAGTCTTGAATTCAATAAATCAATTAAGTACAACATTGTCTAAAGTTAAAATAGAAGTAAACAGAAGTTTGTCAAACACTTGGCACATAACATTAACATTTTATACTGCTGTAATCAATCATGTTTTGTCAAATGTGAACTGTGCATAAGTTTTAACAAAGACACGCACGTCTTCAATTTCCCAAGGGATAGACGCATTTGCATTTGCATTTTCACCAATTATGACCTTATGAGTCCCATTTAGTAAAGGGTGGGTTTATTGTCCCACACCAGAGGAAAACCCAGGCCGATTTCATTGAGGAATTATCAAAAAAACTTAATAATCTCCAATGGCACTGTTCGACCCAAGAATCTTTTGTTTAGCAGTTGCATTTGTAACTAACTGTTTGCTTGACCAACAAATTATATGAATATACTAGTTTTGAAGTGACTTACTTCTATTAATATTTCGTTTGTAAAAACATGATCGATTACTGCATCACGTGCGAGTTCCGTAGCTCCGTGTGTCAGAGCGCGGTGGTATGCGGCGCGCGCGCGTAGGCGGTGGGAATGAACCCGGAGCGGCGCGCGCGCGGCGCGTGCGCCCACAGCCAGCCCTCCACCGTCTGCTGCGACAGGTCGGCGTACACCCACTCGCCGCGCTTCACCGACAGGTCGTCCGGGGCCTGCGCCTGACGATACAGACAATCTTTTTTTACAAATTTGGATAAAATCTTATACAAGTATATATAGTTATAATTATAGTTTCAACGCGCTAATCTCGGTAACTACAAATCTGATTTGAATAATTATTTTTGTGTTGGATAGCGCATTTATCGAGGATAAGCTATAAAACATCACGCTACGACCATTAGGAGCTGAGCAGAGCGTGAGCGCGTGCGAGACGCAAAAAGGCTGGGCGCCTTTTGAAGGACTCCCCCCATCATAAAAAAAAGGCCAGAAGATGTCGAAAATGGTAATTTCAGTCTTATAGATAATTAGTTTTATTAATTAGCTGCTTCTGTAATTGTTGCGCACATTTTTAAATTTGTTGTGTCTTATAGTTTTTTAATTATTTCACAAAAACATTTCCTGCTAGGGTAACGTTACTCCAGCTAGACCTTTTTCTTTCTAATGGGAATATCTAAATAATTACTAGCTATAAAATTAGTTGTCTAGATGAAACCACTACTCAAAGAGGGGACTTACCGCTGCAATGGCAGCGAGCCCAAAGATATATATGTATATCCTGCCTCGGATCAGATCGGATCAGCCTGCCTCCAAGAATTTTTATCCTCTATATAACCATTAAGTTTGTTGTATGCTTTTCTACATAACGTTTTTTTAATACAAAATTTAAATTATGTAAGCATAATTATGGAGGCAGGCTGATCCGGTTCCAGACTATAGTAAATTTGTTGTTATTCCTTCGTTTTGTAATAAATCGAAATCCCGTACTAATGACCGTTCCGACATATATGCGAGTGAGACCAGCTTCATAATAAAATAAAAGAAAAACAAGGTTAGAAGTCAAATTTATTGAAATGAACATTCACTATTTCTATGCCAGCTATATACAAATGTGAAACAAAATCTGGTGTTATATTCCACTGTAACTCTGATATCCACAGATGGTACCGATTGCTTACCATCAGGTGATCTGCTTATTAAGCTTAGATTTAATAATTTATCTACTTATTGTCGATTGTTTGGTCTCAGTTCTTGGCATTTGTTATTCAGTATTATAGTAAACATATCAGATATACTGTAAGCCGTCCCTGTTACCAGGTAGTTCTGTGCAGTAGTTACCTTATAATCGTATAGCATGACTAGTTCGGTGCCGTGGTATCGTCCGTCGCTGTCCTGCGCGGGCGCCGAGTTGTTCAGCTTGGTGTTGTTGAGTGCCGACGTGTTGTTGGTTGTTGTTGGAGACAACACTGGCTGGGTCGTGTCTTGTGGACTTGCTGGAAGCAATAAAAATATGTTCTTCATTATCTTATACTATTATATAAAGCGGAAGAGTTTGTTTTTTGTTTGAACGCGCTAATCTCCATAACTACAAGTCTGATTTCAATAATTCTTTTTGTGTTGAATAGCGCATTTATCGAGGATGGCTATAGGCTATAAAACATCACGCTACGACCATTAGGAGCTGAGCAGAGCGTGTGAAACCGCGCGGAAGTAGTTAGTCTAAAGTATAATTAAGGTAGGTACAGTGGTACCTATTCTGTTTTCATATTTTAGCAAAAATTTCATTGACAAAATGATGCAAAGGATTTTTATTGCAATTTATATTACCATTATTTTGCCATTATCCTCAGTTACTAGACAGAATCAGTTCACACACCCATCGCTTCAGTCAACAATAAGTTTGGACTCTGTCTAAACTTTTATGAAGTAAGAGGCATGATATCACTTTTTGTAACACTTTTGAACATCAAAACAAAATTTTTAAATATTAAAAAATAAGAAAAAATGTCAGTCTGTAGATCAGTCCTCTAGTGAAGCTATTTGGTCGTAAGTGTAGATTCCTATGGAGAAGAACGAGCAAGAAACTCCATAGGTTACTCTTTTTCAATCATGTTCACAATACAATTTTTGGTTACATTCTTTCATTAGTTTTACCTTGCACTACAGCTGGGTAGACGAAGCCGGAAGGTATGAACCCCTCCTGTCCGTCACTCCGCACTATCCAGTACCAGTCGGGGTCCTCTCTGTTTAGCACTGAAATATTAAAATGTGGAATCAGTTTTAGCTGAATTGATTTAGAATCAATTCCGTCAAATATTATTTCTGCATTGTTAGTGGTTGCTAGTGCTATATGCTTGTTTTATGTAACATGTGACAAAAGATCCACAGAAACACTGATTGTATTCACAAATTCTAAACTTCTTTTTTTTTAACTCGTCGAGTACCGTCATTATAGACACAATTATAGAACAATAGGTTGCGGTCACCGGTGACCGCTTGGTGTTTGACAGTTTAAACTAGTGTTTTCTCCTGTGTCGTGGGTGCGTTTACAAACATACAAGTTCATATACACATGACACCCAGACCATGAACAACAATCTGTGGATCAAACAAAGAATTGATCCGTGCGGGAATCGAACCGGCGACACGTTGCGCATCAGCCAGTTGCCCAGCCAACGCGCCAACCGTGCAGTATCTATATCATAAAACGAACTTGAAATCAAAGAATTCAATTATCAAAGCTATGAACTAACTTGGAATCACTCTGGAATGTCAAGAAATCAAGAATTTAACTCGTCGAGTACCGGTTTTGTAGACACAATTAAAGAACAATAGGTTGCGGTCACCGGTGCCCGCTTGGTGTTTGACAGTTTAAGTTGGACTGTTGCTAGAACAATTTTATAGATACATACATAACTTTACTGTCCCTTTGGGGGTAGGCAGGGACTATGGAATTCTAACTTCAATATCAATCAAGGTACACTGCCTTGTGAACTCACCGGTAACAAATTCCCCGCGTTCTACATCAACGTCGTTTTCGTCTCTCGCAGTAAACGTATATAGCACCACATATCTTCCTGAAGGATCCTTGCTGAACGGACAGGCTTCCCCTTCGCTGCCCAGCTCTGAGTGCCCGTCGTTCGTCACCCCGTCTGATACCGATAGTCTGGGGAGAGTGGAGTTATTATAGAGGTAGGAGAACTTGGATGAAATTTAAGCTATAAACAAGTAGACAGTTATTAAAATATAGTAGAGTTTGATCAAGAATGTGGTTTTCAAGTGAAGTTCTCTTATTCGAGCAGGTGCTACTAGTACAAAACAATCCTAATTTTTTAATTATTACAGTACATAGTTGCTACTTTAGCTGCTTTTTGCTCAAGTTAGTTATTGAAACATTCAAGTGCAGGTGACAAAAAGTTGTTTAATTTATAATGTATAGTGAAATAGTGGTCTCGTTGGCCGAGTGGTCGCAAGTGCGACTGCCGGGCAAGGGGTCTCGGGTTCGATTCCCGGGTCGAGCAAAGTATTACTGTGTTTTTAAAAAAATCTGCATGCATGGAGTCTGGAATTGTGCCCGGTATATGGCAATAGATTAACCCCCTTTTACATGGGACCATGGGACTCATAACATAAATAATGAAAAGTGGGTGTTACTTCTGTGTGCACCTCTGCCTACCTCTTCGGGGATAAAAGGCGTGAAGTTATGTTAGTTATTGTGTAGGTAACAAACTATATAACACACACTTGTTTAATTTTTATACCTTCCTTCAACTCTATAGTTAAACAGTTATGTCATACTCACTGTGAAACGTCTCGATGCGCCAGATCAGTGGGTGAGCGACTTCTAGGTAGTTTCTTCTTGAGGTCGTGTGGCTCGCAGGGGGCGCAGTACGAGTGCGGGATGAAGCCCTCGCGCCGGGACTCCGCCACTATCACGTACACCCAGTCGTTCTCCCGGTATAACACGTTAACAATCTGGCCGCGTTTTACCTGGAAATTGGAGTTCCAAACATCTTTTAACCCATACATCCCCAAGCGATCACCGGTGACCGCTCTCCAGTAACTACATTATAGACCTTATGAACAAATTTAGGGGATGAATTTCAATGTGTTAATATTAAACATTTCATTGGTAAACTATAGCTAGTACCTATATTATGTAGTGTTTCAATGCCAAATGATTAGAAAACATAACATAACATCACGCCTTTTATTCCCAAAGGGGTAGGCCGAGGTGCACATTACGGCACTTAATGCCACTGTACAATGTAACACCCACTTTTCACTATTTATGTTATGACTCCCATGTAATAGGGGGTGAGCCTATTGCCATATACAGGGCACAATTCCAGACTTTTACTGAGATTTATTTAAAAATTCCAGCAATACTTTGCCCTACCCGGAAATCGAACCCGAGACTCCTTGTCCGGCATTCGCACTTGCGACCACTTGGTCAACGAGGCAGTGATTAGAAATAAAGATTTCATTATACTAATCTTATATATTATTCAACACCTGGGTGACAGTAACTTCACCTCTCAACTTCTTAACAAAATACAAGCATGCTTATATTAACAGCACAGATTTTTATACATCAACACAAGAAAAATGAAAACTAAATACCTAAGGTACAGTAAAAAGTAGTTGTTACATTGTACAGTGACAAAAATTGCCATAATGTGCACCTCTCACACCTCTGCCTACCCCTTTGGGGATAAAAAGGCGTGATGTTATGTTGTAAATACCTAATTTTAATGAAACTTGGTACTCATGTAAGTGCTAAGTTAAAATATAAAAAAGTACCAATCCAACAATTTTCACATAATTCAACAAATTACAACACAAAGCGCTCACCTCCAACTCATCATCGACACAAGGCGTGAAGTCATGTAGCACCACCATCTTAGAATCAGGACTTAGTCCATGCTCTTTCTCAATTCCGACCCTCACTAGAGTCTCTATACTGGCCGAGCCTGTAATGCGGCCCATCCCTGGACTCAGGCCAGAGCCAGGACGGGACAGGTCCTTGTCTGAGTCCCCGCTGCTAGCTGGAATGAGGATAAGTAAGTATTCGGTAAGTAAAAGTATTCCCTAATTTTTTTTAAATTGATCTAGACAGATTCTTTGGTCAGTTTCCTGACTGGAAATAAATAACACAGATATAGTAAAAAAAGAGCTGTAATCCTGTTTTTTGAATTTTTAAATGGAGTGTAGACTTATCTAGATACAGTCTCTAGCTGAATTTACATAAGTCTTGTAAGAATTTGAAAGTATTGTGTAATTAATTTAATAAATGGAGTTATCTCATGGTTATTTGAAGTTAGAAACCCAGGGCAACTAATAAACTGTTATTATGATACTTTATTGAAGTTTAAAGTCATAGACTAAGCATAACTTAATGTAAATTTTGAAAACTAGTTATAATAACCTTAGTATCAAACTAGTACGATATTATTTTAGCATAATTAATTCATAATGTTTGAAACAGTTTAGATAAAACTAAAAAAACTTAAGTTCTGAATCACCCAAAAGCTTTTTGCATCTATGGCTGATTAAGTTTTTTTTATTTGCAAATTACGAACAATACATATAATTGAGGTTCTCACGGTCAAGGGTATTGGTCATACATGTTGTCAGGTGAAACAGGATGAAATTACTAGTTTTATATATTTATAATTATATAGAAAGTCTGGGGTCATTGACTTGAAAAGTTCCCAATGAAAGCTCCATACTTACATTTCTTCTTCTTCCCCCTTCTAATTCTGACTGGACACAGAAACGCCATGTTGTAACAAACTCAAATTAACACATTACTAAGAAAATAACATTAAATCCAACAGGTTGTAGTCACTACTTTGAATAAAATACGATTTTCTCACGATTTCCTACATGTCAAAAAAGTTCACAAAACAACTTTTTTTAACGTTTCGTTACTGCGTCGTCGTAAGTTCTGGCCGTGCGTTTCGTTACCTGCATAAAGATTAAATTGATTTGGAGAATAAAATTTTATATTATTATTATAAGTGTGTTTAATTTAAAAAAAGTTAATTATTTTTAGGCGTCCACAATAAATGATGATGTCTAATTATCAGGTTTTTTTCAAGTCATATAAGCCTTAGAGACAATTTTAATCGCGTGATATAATCGCGGCATTATTTAAGTTCCTTTGGTTTTAATTGACATGCGCTTGATTTAAAATTAAAATAGGTATAATATTAAATAATCTAGGTAGACACGCAGATACGTAAGAAGTATGCAACGAATCGTATAAAAATCAAATAAAAATGTTTATTTTCGATAGTCTTTATTTCACAGTATATTTAGGTAGGTACATGAATATTATGATATAAAGGCAGTCATCAGCTTAATCTAAATTTCAAAGATACATTTGGCACATGCAAACCGGAACAGCAAAGTACAAAAATACACAGAAATTACTTTCAACAACTTTAAATTTTAACACTAACTTTAAATATGGATATTCGATTTTATTCAAACTTAACTAAGTAGGTTAATACGCCATCTATAATTTTAATTTATACATTCATTGATTAACAGTTTCTATCTACGCAACATGCAATAATTTCATACGTCTTTTACCTGTATAGAAATGTATAGAAATACAATCGTTTCTAATTATTTTTAATAGAAGTTTTTATGTAGATTTAACAATATTTTATCTAAGTATTGTAGACATTTTAAGTAGATAGTCTTAAGTTTTTAACATTTTCGAAAGTACATACCTAACAGTTCGTTCGCACATATAAAGACATTTTGAAGCTCAAATTTATTCTATGAACAGATATCTATATAATAGGAATTAGGTATTTTGACGTAATAATTTTATTTACAATACAATGTTCATCAAGCACCCTTTTGCTTCGAAGCTCTCAACTCTTCTTGCATTAATTACTAAAACTTTTTTACAAAATATTTCATCCTTACTTGTTTTGGTGCTTCCATTTCATATGTACCTATTTAAAAATATTAGACATTTATTTATCTTCAGAAAAATATTATAAGATCACATTTAGCTATTGTCGATGATGATTGAACAACGATGCGGTATTAGAATGATATTAGCTGGCCATTTTTTCATAGGAAACTACACATCGTAAAAAAACGGCCATAACAATCTACAGGTAGTTTGCTACGTACTTTTGACATACTTTTTACATAACAATATTTAATAAATAGCCTATAGATGTTGGGTATCTGTTAACGAGTGCCAGGACTCATGACGATGATCAGGAAACTTTATGCAGTCCATCCAGTGCTTCAACCTCCTTCCTTTAGAACTCGCTCCTAAAACAAGGCTGCCCAAAAAGTCGTTGGGCTTACCATAATCTTTGTCCCAAACTGTCAATGTCAAATTTTGGCGGGAAAGTTCCGTGGGACGAGTTTCGAAAAGGAATTCTTCGTTCCAAACTGGATTTAAGTTTCGCCATTTAATAGATGTTTTGTGCTTCTTGTGATAGGGGTCGGGATCCAAATGCCTGAAAAAAGAAAAAGAGTAAATGAGAATACATTATAATAATTAAAATTAATTAAACTTTATGAAAAAGGTTAATTAGAAGTATTTCACATTCCATTACAAAATGACTGAAAGTTTCCAATTGAGTTGAGACCCTATTGACATAAAATCCCACGCACAAACCGAATTTCTATGTATAAAGAGGGTGAGGGTCCTCGAGATAAGATAAATAAAACCTATTTTATAGGGTTGATTGAGCAATATTGTCAGATATTTTTAGATGAAAACATTCGTATGGAAATAAAAGATCATTTCAGTCCATGGCGTCTGATCCTTAAGGGGATGGAAATATTAAACAAGTCAGTGATGGCAGTCAAATCCTCTCTATTGTGTTGAAGCTGTACCTACCTACCTATTAATAAATAATCATGCAAAACAGAGGCAGGCAGTATGTTTTAAACCAACTTACAATTTAACAAATGGATCCGAGTAGCCATTGCTGTCCTGTGGCGGTAGATCAGCTCCACGGCAAATGGTTACCACCAAGGCTCTCCTTTTCGTGCTATAGCAGAGAGCCAACAATATCCTGGGTCCAGTAGGTTCAGCACCTGATGATCCTGACAGAGCCAGGCGTAACTGAGCAGGAGACTTCGCACATTCCCGTAGCGCCACCGTCGCAGACCCCATTTCATCGCAACCGTATCTGTAAAAAGAAAAGGAATGGTTTTCTATACTAGGTCATTAAGGAACCCTTCGGAGGTCTATAGTGGACGTCTTGTGGCCGATATGATGACTACGATGGTAATATAGGGTTTCTTTGTTACTATGGACCAACCTAAACAGGGGAATAAAGTCCAAGGTCCAATTCTGAACAGTTCAAAAGTTATAACTAGTTTACGCCAATACATTACTATTAAACCTTATTCGACTCCCACTAGAAAAAAAAGTAGTGCAAATAGTTTCTCCATAAAACTTTGAACTACAGAACAAATACTGAGCTGGAGATATTCTAAGAGCAGATGCCTCACTATCTGGAGGCACCCTCAGCCGTTGACAAATCATCCAACATATTTGCTCCTAGTCATAGTCCCTGTGCTTTGTGTCTTGTGGACTGATACTGGTCACAGATAAAAATATAAAAAAGTTACCACAGACTACTAAAGAGACTACCAAAACAAAACGAATTTATTCTCAATCGCCAAACACAATGTTTCCCGACTACGCATGTCCGAAGTTTTCAGAGCGGGAAAATGAAGTGTATTTAATGTTTGACCCAGTTTTTCACGGATGAGCTGGCATAACATTCAATAAGTACCTCCGTCGGAATATCAAGTGTCCTGCTAAATAGAAATGTGGCATTTCTAACGGTAAACCATTTATAGACAATCGATATTTTTATTATGCTCAGCTGGATTACTATTTTTTAACCTTTTCCAAACTGGGACTGTTGGTTCCAGGAATTGAGGTTTGACAATAAAAAGTAGTAAGTATTCCAAGTTCAAATTTTATTAGGTAGGTAGCAGTAAATAATTTTGTACCTCTTCGATACGGAAGATTTAAAAAGATTCTTAGAATTCTTCAAAGAAAAACCTAAAAAGATTTTTACTTCTCTCATGTTAGATTATCATTAAATTAGGTTCGAAGATTGAAACACCGCGCAACGATGTCCGCCCCGGTCACCGTAGCGGACGGTGAGCAATGTAGCTCGCTGGCTGACCAGAATTACACGGGCAAGTACCCTCAATGAGCCATCAGACCACCACACATGGGGCCCAGTAGAGCAGATGCCCGATACGAAGTCACGGAAGGCCTAACGGTTTGCCGGCTCCGGTTCGAAGAGCAGTAAGAGAGTAAATCTGACACTCCCTGTCGCCTAACCCAAGATGGAAAAAGTAAAAGGATAATATTCCTCCGACCAAAAGAAAGACATAAAAAAATTGAGGCACTACTACAAAAATGATTTCACCCGTACTTAAGCAGAAGCTCATGCGTTGAATGCTTTTAGAAAAAAGCATACCACGCACACATAATTATGTACATATGTAGTTACCTACTCGTTTTTCTTTAAACACTTACTTGATTACTCTGAACACGTCGCACTAAGTTTAGCGAACCCAACTTTACTTGATAAGCTAGGTACATGTCGCCGGTACAAGAGCTGAAACTATCCACGCTTTATTTTCTTCGTATTTCTAGTTTGATAGCTCTCTTAGATATGTGACTAGTGTAGGTATATTCGACCTTCATTTATAAATGTGTCTGAAAGCCTAATTAGTTAAGAGAACATTTTCATTACAATGTACGTAGTTAATCAACTGTTGAGCATTATTTAAGTCGTCTCACAAACTGTCCTTATGAGACACGTGTCTGAACGTTGAACCGTTTTTCTATAATTTATTTTCTTGTGAGTATCAGATAAATGGAGCATGCTACTGAATATTCAAAAACAGATGGCACTCTCTAACTTTTTAGTTAGCGAGTGCCATTTCCCAAAAATATTATTCAAATTAAATTAAAAACTTAAACAATATTTCGCGCATTTCTTTCCAACCTTACAAGTCGAAATATGTGCTCGTATAGCCCTTGCCAACTCTGCATCCCTGATATATGTTTATACTCCACTACTTACTGTAAAAGCCATTGTGATGATTATATTGCTCACCTGTCATCATCAAACAGCACGATCTCCAGCGATTTGACAGCGAGGTCCGACTCAGTGATGCCGAAGAAGTGCAGTGTCTCGTTAAACTCCGGGTTCTTAGTTTTGTGGACTGTTTTAGTTCGTAGTCTGTTGGAGTAGGATCCCTCTGGAAGAAGAAAATAATTATTTAGAATACCTTATAACATCATAACATCACGCCTTTTATCCCGAAGGGGTAGGCAGAGGTGCACATTATTCCACTGTACAATGTAACAATGAATACCTTATCTAATGAGTGATTAGCTATCATCGTCAAAATGGTCAAAAGGATCGCAGACTAACAATTATGCCATTTTAGGTAACAGTTGACGTTGACATTATCAAATTTAAACAAGGGTGAAAACTTTGGTGGTAATCAAATCCAAGATTTGCTCCTCAACTATCTACATAACATAAAAAAAAATATAACACCCACTTTTGATCCTCAACTAGCTATTTAAAACCCCAAAACTACAATATCATAACAACAGAATCCCAAAAATCTCACCTCTAGGTAACACCTCCAATCTGCAAAACGGATCAGACAATCCGGTCATGTCCATACCGATCAGACCCCTAGCTCTTAACACAGTTACAGCCAAAGACGAGGTCGCATTCTCATACGCCAATTTAATTTCTAATGTCCCAAATCCAGCATCAGGTATCGTAGGGGGTCTCTCAATTTGGGTGGTTGGTTTAGGCATCTCTTTTCTCATGCTGCGAAGGCTGTAGGCACTGCCCTTACTGCCTGTCCTTTTTAGGGAGGCTAGAGGTCTTTGTGTGAGGCTGTCCTGTCTATGGAGACTGAGGCCACTGAAGCCGTGGGATAGGATGTCTGTTTCGTTCCATTCGTAGTGGGTGTCCTGGAATGAACAAAGTTAATTTGTTAAAGTTCTTTTTTGTATTTAAGTTGATTTGTCGTAAGTAAAAGTTGAAAGATGTAACTGTTACATTTACATTTTTGAACGTGAATTTAATTATACCAAAATTAGTATCCACGTCTGCTATAAAAGGGAACCGTCCTTGTTATAAAGGCGTTTTTTAATTAAAATTCTAATCAACGCTTCTCATTTATAAATAACAATCTTTAGAAGCATAAAATCCTTTTGTCCATTTATCAGTTTTGTTCACAAGGAAAGCTATAAATATTACCAAGATAATTAGACCTCTCTGAACTTTGACGTTTACACTGAGAGCAAGACGTCACTATACACGAATACTGTTGAACGATAGAGATAGCTATACTTGTGACGTACTTCAGAGAGATCAACTTATGTTGGTTTATATAAATTCGCGAATATTGCTATTCATTGCAACATGGTGAAATTAGGTTAGGTTTAATGACCCATTAACAAGGAAACAAAGAAAATGTCACTATGTCATAGTCAAATGTCATTCCACCTCATGAATAATGGAATTTCTTAGAGTAAAGTGTATGCGGCCTAGATACATTTTCGCTTGGCTGCATATCCCGATTTGCATATAAAATATCCTGCGTTACTTCACGGCTGGCTTGTACTAGGTTAAGCGATTTTAGCTCTTATTTGCATATGCTAATAATAGGGGAGATGTAAGAGTGTTTATGATATGAAGGTATGAGAAACAAGGTTGGTACATGAATCTTGTTACAAACGTACGTGATTAATTATAATAATTTGTATTTTACGTGTTTCATGTAGTCCCGCACTCGAATATAGGTATATATATATGTATATTTTTTATTATTTTATTTATTGTTCCTTTATTTCAGGCAACTGTGGCCCACATAAAATATAATACACAAATAAATAAAAATACAATACAAAATTGATACAGATACCAAAAATGAAAACATCAATAAACTAATAGATATACAATAACAAAACTCATCTAGTTATTATAATTATTTTGAGTCATAGACGTGATTACAAATTGATTATATCATACTAGACCTCTGGGTACCAATTTGTGAGTCCTTTCGTTCCTTGCGGGAATCAAAATACGATACGTTGCATAGCATCTATCTGCGTGGCCACTACGCCAACCATGTCGTCAAACTAGTTGTAGTATGGTAGGATTATGACATTTTCCATAACATAGCATCACGTCTTTTATCCCCGAAGAGGTAGGCAGAGGTGCATTGTCTACGGCACTTAAGGCCACTGTACAATGTAACACTCACTTTTCACTATTTATGTTATAAGTCCCATAAAATAGGGAGTGAGCGTATTGCCATATACTGGGCACAATTCCAGACTCCGTGATACTAGTGAGATTAAAAAAAAACCAGTAATACTTTGCCCGACCTGGGAATCGAACCCGAGACCCCTTACGCAGCAGTCGCGCTTAGGTACTAAAATTGATAACACTCTGATCCTGAAGATTTTATAAACCTTGTATTTGTTCAGATTAGGAATCGATGGCTTGAGGGTCTAATAAATGAGAATTTATCGAGATGACGTGTGTGAGTGCGTTTATTGCACTAATAAAACGTTGGAGAGCCAATTAAGAGAATAGAAAATAATAAAGGATATATCCGTCAATTGGTTACTTTCCTCAATCAAAACTATATTATTTCAACTGTTCTATACAATAAAATATTACAAAACTTTCATTATTTGATTTTATGACTAACTTATTATAGTATTGTTATAGTATTTTCCAGCAAATATTTACGAAATAATTATGTTGTTTGATGCTAAAAAACGTTACGTCACAATCTCGTACAAAATTCATAGAAATCTGTCGTTTTTTACAGTTCGTAAAAAGTATTGAATTTGACTATTAGCAAGTACCCAAATGGTTTAGCATCACTAGATACTTCCGCGCGGTTTCACCCACCCTGCTCGGCTCCTATTAATCGTAGCGTGATGTTTTATAGCCTATAGCCTTTCTCGACAAATGAGTTATACAAAACAGAAATAATGTTTAGAATCGGACCAGTAGTTCCTGAGATAATCCAATAATAGTAATAATTACATAATAAAATAATAGTACAACTATAAGTTTTGCTATGTTAAGTCAAGTAAATATTTTGACTTTGACTTTCATGTCGTTAAATCGTACTTTATTATTATCTAGGAGAGCTATACTTCGGATATACTTCGGATGGACTAGTTCGACCGGAGTGATACCACGGTCTCATAGAAAACCGTCGTGAAACAACCCTTGCATTAAGTTTCGTCGTGCGTACGTGAAGTTACCAGAGGCCCCAAAAACCGGGTGATCGTCTGGTGTTGAGAGGGTCCATGGGCGGTATCAATTGATTGTCATCAGGTCCTACGTCTGCTCGTTTACTTCCCAGTACCACAAAAAAGTGTACTACTAAATTAAACTGTCAAACACCGGCCGGTCACCGGTGACCGCAACCTATTGTTCTTTAATTGTGTCTATAATGACGGTACTCAACGAGTGTAACTGGCTACCGAGCATTGCTCGGTGTATTTTTAAATAATCGACATTTTCTGAAATTGAAACTTAGATATATCGATTTATTACCCCCGAAACTCCCTGAATACATAATTTCAAGAAAATCAATGGAGCCGTTTTTTGGTGGTTGATATATAATTATATAAGGACAAGAATTGATAGTTTGAAGGTATTTTTAGATATAAAACGCGACTGGACGCACAGTGCTATCATTTACTTATAACAAAAATAAATAATATCATAAATCTACATACTTATGATAACTTAGCACAAAAACTTAACACAAACATCCAATCTCCCTCGTAATTTACAAACCGATTACATTCCAAGCCGACTGCTAATAGCTTAGAATAGCTTGAAGTCAGAAGTTAACCGGCTTCAAAATGAAGTCGGCCATTAGTCGTGTCGTGTGCCGTTGACATTTATGTAATTGCTAATTAATATCATAAAGAGGACTGCTGGACTATTGTTAAGTGTCGTAGGATTTATTTATAACTGCTACTGCACGGTTGGCGCGGTGGTTGGGCAACTGGCTGCCGCGCAACGTGTCGCGGGTTCGATTCCCGCACGGAACAACTCTTTGTGTGATCCACAGATTGTTGTTACGGGTCTGGGTGTCATGTGATATTGTCAAAGTCAAAGTCAAAGTCAAAGCATTTATTTCAATTAAACCATAGTTTGGTACTTTTGAAACGTCAACAAATACAAAATAAATAATAGTCTGTCAGTCAGTCCGTCAGTGAACCTAGGTGAAGCTAGGTGCTCATTCCAAAACGTAGATTCGAATGGAGAAGAACGAGCAAGAAACTCCATTCGTTACTCTTTTAAAAAATTATGTTCTACAATGTCTCTGATACATATTTCAATACTTTACGCATATGTAAGAACAATGCAAAGACACGCTTGACGCATACTAATAACTTACTAAAATAAAAAAATAAAAAATCTTAAGTCTAACATGGTGCTCATATATGCATACTGACAATCCATAGAAATAGTGCTTCTATACAAGAAAAAGGAAAAGGAATGTATGTTGTTTACCCATGACACAGGAGAAAATCCTAGTGTCGGGCAACATTTTAAAAAGTTAAAAATAAAAAAAAAACTAGCTTCGGCCAGCTGCTTCGCCCGTGTTCCTGAAGGATGATAATGTGATGTGTTATATGAAAGAAAGAGAGAAAGAAAAAACATTTATTTGGCAATTGACACACAAAACAAAGATTATGAAAAATAAAAATACAGAATAAAAAATAATAAAAATACAAATACTTACATAAATACAAAATATTAATAAAAAACTTAAAAGAGTAAAGAAAAGAACAAAAATCATCAAAATATAACAAAATAATGTACATACAATACAATACGTTTTTGATATAAAGAGAAATTAAATATACAAAAAAAAAACATATATTCTTACTAATATTATAAATCGGAAAGTGAGTTTATTTGTTTGTTCCGCTTTCACGCCGTAACTACTAAACCGATTGCTTTGAATTTTTGCAGACGTAAAGTTAGAAGTCTGGATTAAATAATAGTGTACTTTTTATCCCGGAAAAATTTGATATTCCCAAGGGAAAACAAAAGTATTGGTATAGACGGCGCTGTGTGTATTGGTATATGTCGCATAGGCTACTTTTTATCCTTTTGTGACGCGAGCGAAGCCGCGGGTAAAAGCTAGTAAATAATATATTGTTTGATGTATTTTATTATGTAAATGATGATGAGAGAAATAAATAAATTATTTTTATTATTATTATATGTAATAGTAATATTGTAGTGCGTATGCTCATGCGAAAAGGGCCTCGACCCAGCGTATAGTTCCTGCCCAACGCTGATTTTCAGGTGGCACCCTGCAGTGACTCAAGGACGGCGGTACCGCCCCTCAATAAGGAAAAGAAAATAAATTTTAATATGAAATTATATAGACATAATAAATTCTGCAGAATATGTGTGTGTGTATGTGTGTGTATATTAGACCATAATCTACCCCTGTTCCAAATATCATCCTGATCTCTTCAGCCGTTTTCGCGTGATTAAGTAGCAAGCGTCTATCAACCATAGTACAGACGCGCATACTGCAGTACTTTGGCCATGTCTCCCGTCGTGATAACAACTCCATAGAACGACTGGTTGTTCAGGGTAAAGTAGAGGGAACCAGATCACGAGGCAGATCACTTATGCTGGACTGATCACGTCAAATCGGCAATAGGAAACCTAGTGTCAGACTGCGCCAGACAATTTACAAACAGGGAAAGATGGCGGGAGATCGTGGGAATCTGTATCGGCGTCTAACACAATACAGCCTCCTCAACGTGACTATGACCGCTCGGCCAAGAGCGAACCGACAGAGAAGTAACAAAAATACAAATAAACCAACTTCCGAATTTATAATATTAGTAAGATTATAAGTTTGTAACATAACATCACGCCATTTATCCCCGAAGGGGTAGGCAGAGGTGTACATTGTTTTTTTTTTTTTTTTTTTTTATGGCATAAGCCGGTAAACGAGCAGACGGATCACCTGATGGAAAGCAATCGGCGTCGCCCATGGACACCTGGAACACCAGAGGCGTTACAAGTGCGTTACCGGCTATTTGTGGATTAGGAGTTTGAGGATTGTTGGGGATTCAGGGATTGTACAATGTAACACCCACTTTTTACTATTTATGTTATGAGTCCCATGTAATAGGGGGTGAGTCTATTGCCATATATCGGGCACAATTCCAGACTCCGTGCTACTACTGAGATTTTTTGAAATTATTTACGATACGATATAAGTATTACTTTTCCCGACCCGGGAATCGAACCCGAGACCCCTTGCCCGGCAATCGCAATTGCGACCACTTGGCCAACGAGGCAGTAACATAACTTTGTATTAGAAGTTTATTTATTTTCGATTCTAAACTTAATAGCACACTGTGTTAAGTATTTGTTATTATCTGTGCAAGTAGATTACTGGCCACTTGTGATGACAATAGTCTATGCGTTGTATATTATCTGTGCCTAATTTATAACAAAGAATAAACGGGTGTGCTAATGGCGGTCTGCAGTTTTCGTTGTTCCCGCATTGACACATACCTGTATTTAGTATTATTATATCTGCTTTTGAAGTCGAATGCGGTTACCAAACAAAGGGTGTTTGGAAAAAATGTTATTGGAAGTTGGAACCCCAACTTTTAGTTAAAAAAAATCTCACCCGATAGATTTGTAACAGCGTAGAAGTGCCTGGTGAATCTGTGCAATTATGTTTGTGATGATCACACATATACGAACCTCACATGAGGTTGTATATGAATGACATTGGCGAATAATTGTTACATTGTTCATGCACCTCTGCCTAGCCCTTCAAGGGTTAAAAGACTACATTCACAAGAAAATATGAAAGCGATTTTTATTTTCAGTTACGTTATCAAATCTTTGGATATAGGATAAGAGTGGATTAAAATTGGCATCTCGTCGCTTCGCGTCTGAGCGGTTGCCATGGCAACCAGCCAATTATTATTGTCCAACCATGTTGCTAACTCCTAGATTAGTTTTTCGGGTTTTTCGTTACCAAGTTAGATATTTGCTTTTCTAAATATAAACACAATAGTAGAAGGCTGTTTGTCTTCGAAGT